CATATTCCACAAAGGGAATTATTATCGCCGCTACGTAAACATATTACGCGGTCACGCTCTTAATACAGATAAAGCTTCTCTTTTGTTTTATTCATGTAACGTAAACTCTTTGTCTTTATACGAGTACAAGGTAATAAAGAAAAAAAAAAAAAAAAAAAAAAAAAAAAAAAAACAGAGGCAGGAAATGAAAGAAGGGGATTAGTGAGACCAAAAGTCAACGTTATCACTCTTTGAGGAATAAACGTGGATGTGCATTGAGTTTAGCTGTAACGTGATTCTATAAGATACGTGCACTATAAAATTTCATGGACTATAAAGTTAGCGTTAACACAATGTTGGCTCTTTCTCAGTTGCCACCTTTGGCTCTTTATCTGCGCGTTTGCACGTGAAAACCAGCTGTTACTTTTTAAAACGTGTCTGCAAAAATTATTTACACGAAAAGTTATGTGTTTCTTTGTACACATTAGATCAGAATCAAGAGAGGCACGATAGTGCCTCGCGCCAAGTTCACGCGCAACGAAGTGGCGCTCAAACTGCGCGAGCACATTGTGCCTCTTATACGCGAAAATCAGACATTTCAATGAAGGGGAGATTTTTGACTTCGGTCACGTGACTGCGATGAGGTCAATGACCTTGGTTATGTGACTACGGTGACATATTATATATACATAAAGTTAAAGTATATAGTTTGTATTTATTTTGTTTGTGCAAAATTTCAAACTAGTTTATTGAAAAAAGTTATATTGGAGATGTAGCTGATGCGAAAAAAATCTGTTTTTGAAATTAATTTTTGTAGTTTTATAAATAAATTTTAAGTATTACACATATATATACGCATGAATAATACGAATATTCAAGATGTGTCTCAATACATTTATTTTCAATTTGTTTACGCAAACAAAGCAAGTATGTAAATGTTGTATACAACCATATTAGTTTCTCGTACACTTGTATCACACAAGCTTTAAATTACTATGCATTAAAATGTCCATCACGTATCGTGACAGAAATATAAATGCGTTTCTTGATCCGTAATAAATACGCGCGGAGAGACCTTACTTTATGTACAAGCGCGGGGAGACTACTTTCGAGAAGGATATACGACCGAGAAGAAACGAATTTGTCTTCGATCGTCCGCCACGTTATACAGGAGAAGAAGAAAACCTCGAGAACTCCGAAGGCGACGTTATCATTTGTAGAACAAACAAGGATATACATCATGTCCGCGGGCGCGGAGTGTCACGTGCGGATACAGGCTACATCCATAAAGCATAAAGCATAAAGCTGATGCCATCACAGATGTCATCTTCTCTCGCACCTTTTCTTTTTCTCCTTTACTCGCGCGTCCCGGTGTTGGCGGAATTCTTGCGTGCATACGTGAAGCTTCGGGAGTCTAAAGTGCATTATGTGCAATCTTCATATCTTCGAAAGTAGGTTTTGATAATGTTATTCGCGTCTACGTGTCTTCTCTCCCCCGTAGTGAGGGATTGATTGACACGTCGGTGGCGTTATAGAGTTTCGCTCGCCTTCGTCCCATTGTCTTTGCGAATGTAATATTCTCCATTCTCGCTATGCATACATTTTCCGCATAGCACATACATACGGTTCCCACAATGCATTGCGGATCTTGTATTCTGCAATAAAGCTACTATATTTGTCCCTTACATTTGTGTGCGAATTGCGTGTATACGAATAGAATTAATCTACTGTCACGTCAGTAACGACCAAACTGAATTTGCGCAAGAAAACGCGAGTTCGGTCGTAAAATTGATACGCGCGTGAAATACGATCTCCGCGAGCTGGTAGAAAATTTTGAAATATTAAAGTGCATGAGAAAATAGAAAATTCGGAACGCCTTATTAACTGTTAAACCTACAATTTTCACAGCTCGATATTTCATCGTATATAAAGTTGCAAGTATAAATTATATTTTCAGGAGAGAGTGTGTTGCACTGTTTATTGTACAATTCACTGCTAGCAGTTTCTCCGCGCGAGCATTTCCAACTGGCCGCACAGGAGAACTTTCGAAATGGAAATGAAGCGCGTAGGGAGCGCAGTAAAAGTCCGAAAATTACGTTTCGGTCCCGAATTTACGAGAATGCGCGTGCTGTGTGACTAGGGATTATTTGCCCGAAATATCGGTGGATGTTTCATATGCCGGGGCGAAGCTTTCCGGCGAAGCTTGTGCCGGGAAGCAAGGCGGAAATATTGGCGGCGAGAAAATATGAGCGAAAACTTGATTTGAGATAGGTGGAACCCGAGGTGGAGTTTTCTTGGCAGCGGATCAAGCGCATACTTATATATTCCTCCGCCCTGCAAATATATGTGCTACTTATATATACGTGGAGAAAAAGCGGAAAGACGAAAACCGGCGCGGATAAAGCAGGTGGTCAATCGATGAAAACGATTTTCTAACTCAGTGAGACCGGTTTCTGCATTACGCGGAATCGCCACTTGATAAGACTACGTTTTCTAAATGGACAGGTTCTCCCAACGAAATTCCCGGAAAGAGAGATTTTTCCGCTTCTTATCTCTCTTTCCTAATTTCTCTTTTCTTATCGACACATGGGATCAGTTTAATTTTCTTCGTCCGACGTTTCACATGGTTTTTTACTTGTATTTCCGAAAAGTTACCCTCTGCTTTCAAATGACACATCTTCGAACACATCGATTCCTGATTGTTTTTAATCAACGTCCCTGATAGAGAAGTGCAATTATTTATTTCGATTTCGACGAAATAGTTTATTTTCACATCGACGGCGCAAAGTACAAGGATCGGAAAGAGGATGAAGCGTTTGAGAAATGTCAAGTAATGGGGAACTATTGAATTGCGAGTGAGTCGAGGGTGTGTCCGCGGTGGAGGAAAAGTGCTCTGTTAGAAACAGCTATGGAGGAAGTTGTCAACAATAGCGGTGCTTAGAAGCAAGGAAAGTAAACGGTGACACGTCACAGAGACGTCGGCAGGGTGAGAACCGAAAATAGAAAGGGGGCGACCCCTGCGCACTTTCGGTCGAGAAATGCTTTCACTGAGGCGAAACCATTGTTCCCCTCGCCGCCGGAAATGCGAATTTTCACTTACGCTTCGTTCAAACGAAGCGCCTCGTCATTGCTTACACTCCGCTTCGTTTTATTCGGAAAGCCACCTGATTCAATTTCACGCGCAGTTCCGAACATCCAAAATTCGCTCAATGCCTCCAACGAGTATTTGAAATTTTATCGCACACTTTTTAGCACGATTGTTGAAATTGCAGATTTCGCAAAAGATGTTCGTTCCGGACACTGTGGCGCACGATCGAAGGGTCGCCGGATGGCGATGCCGGTATGCAAATAAATCGTTATTTCGCGGTTTTCGTTAAATCAACAAAATTATTCCGTTAAATCGCTTCGCGGTTGTGGATTTCGTCGGCGATGACGTTTTCCCAGTTTCACTCAGTTTCGAGGCCGAAAGTGAGTTACGCCGTTTCAATCGTCAGAATGGAAAGTGTCAAAGGACAGCATAAATCTGCTCGTCCACAAACAAAGCGCCAGACCTCTGAAAACGAATAGTCGGTGAAAATATCGCGCTTCTCGCGTGCCTCTGTTATTTAAACCAATGTATTTTTTCTATGAAAGCAATTGATCCGCTCGTCAAGATAAAGGTCTGTGATAGTTGTAGTTTTTTTTGCTCCCTGTGCCCTTCGATATTTCATTCGACGCGAGAAAGCGGATTAGCGCGCGAATATCGAGCTCGTTTGCGCAAACGCGCCCGGGAGCGTCTCGACAATTAAAGCCAAATGCGATTAAAGCCGAATTAAGTCATAATAAAGCAGCTAAGAGTCTCAGGCTCGAAGCGTGGTGATGTGAAATAAAAGTACGAGCAACGTAAGTTGCTAACGCATTCGATGTTCTCTCGAGAAAATCCAGCGAGATGCAGTCGAGAAAGACGACGTGCACTTAAAACATTTAATTGACGCGTCAAGAATGAAAGTTCACTTCCGATCGATACGCGGAGATGCATTCGACGATCGCGGTGATACGGATGAGCAACTACACTTAATCCTCTTTTCGCCTGTCTTTCTCTCTTACCTCTTTCGTTCGTTTTTTTTTTTGTTTCTCCTAGTACTCTTGCGCGATCGTACCGTCCTGTCTGACGTTGCACTCGACAGGAGAGCTCTACAGATTACTAGCGTACGCGAAGCTTCTCCTACTTGAAGATTCTTCGAGATTTATCTACTTTATGGAACAAAAAGCCTCCCTGTATGGCGTCTTCATAGTTAATCACGCAACGTAATAAGCGCGTATATCTTATTAGCGCTGTGTTATTCGTGACGTTGTGCGCCTATTTAAAAAAAAAAACACTAATAACTTGTGTTACAATAGTAAAGTTGTCAGTTTATTACATATTACATATTTTATATTTTTAATTAATGTCGATTACGTGCGAGTTTTGAAACCAAAGTAAGCAGATCATTTAAATCGGACATACGTTTGTGAGATTTCTCTCTCAATTTGAGCTTCAGAACGTTTTTACATGAAACCGGTAAACTGTGAATAATAAATAACGACAAAGCAAATTTGATTTTGTATTTATGGCGGCAATTTAACTAGTGACGAGTCTCGCGCACGGTCTCTCGATGTATAAAAGAGATTCAGTTGGAAATATTTTGTGCGAGAAATTATGTATGAAACTTAGCGTGAAATGTTATTTATGAGAAATATATTGAAAACACGTGGACGCTGGAAAACATTGGAAAAATGTGCGCGACAGGTCGAACGTTACATACAAAAAACAAAAGGATGTGTGTGTGCAACGTAACAAAGCATTAAAATGATAATTTATTGGCGCAAAGCAACAACAAAAATCAGACATATTGAGTTGCTCAAACGTTTTATAATATCCGTAAGTCAATTTTACATGCAACATATTATTATCGAAAAAAAGTCTATTGAAAGAAAGACATTTAATTTTGATACGCGTAATTACATGTAAAAAAAAAAAAAAAATACTTATTGGTCTTATTTTATTTTATCATGTGGAATGTACTGCAGATTAATAATCCGGAGACACAAAATTCCATCCACGAACTTAGTTTATTGACAATCGTATCGGCTGTGCGAACGTGCGCAGAATGTTTCAAACTAACAGAAACTGTATAGTTCATCCTTTATTAAATTTCAATATTAAATTGCGACAGTAAACTGTAGATATCAAACAAAAGTTCTTAACGCGCAGTCTTAATATATACATTTCTTGCTATCTTTGGTAAGCTTGAAGAAAGATTATTCGAACTGCAAGAAAAATTCTGTTCTTCTCTCTCTGCTTTTCCATTTTTATTTTATCAATTTCCATGTGAGATCGTATCGCGCTACAAATTCATCGCGAGCGTTGAACGCCGATTTCTTTCGCGCAAATCCCGCCGACACTGTATCTCGATATTGGGTACCGAAGCACGATACTGGGAAGGTGGAGAAGCCTTCGAGTGAGTGGTAGAGAACGAGTGGGAAACGAGATAGACGTAATGGAACGAAGGACGAAACACAGAATGGAATAGGCGCGGAGAGAGTCCCGGATCTTCCGCGTGCAAACTCTAATCATCCAGTAAGGTCACGTAGCGCCTCGACTACGAAGACCTATATATGGAATAAGACGGGCGGGCTGGGGGAGGGTGATACTTACGGAATCCCCGTTGAGCTTCCACGTAACGGCGGGGGCGGGTCGGGAGTTGCCCGAGGTGCAGTTCACTCGCAACGTTTCGCCAACCCCTATGCGCTCCTTCTCCGTACGAATCACAGGATCCGTTTTTGGGGCGTCTAAGGCATAATAATTATGTCGTTTAGCACATGCGACTGCTGCCACGGCACTAACTCGACACCTGGCGACACGCCAACGACGCCGAGGGGGGCGTCACGGAGTACGTACCGGAAACACTTGAACAACGACCAACGTCATGCTTGCCACCGCGTTTGCCGACGAAGGCCAGTGCTTCCAGACCCCTCGGCGCCGTTGCTGTTGCATTTTGTTTAACAATTCGTAATTTATGTCACATCCTTCTGCAGGACATTGCAAGAGTCTAACATTCTAGGTTGATACATGAGTTTTCTCATCGCGCAGCTACATATATTTTACGAAACATTCACGCATCCTGTTCTTCCAAATATTTCAGATATAACAATCTCATCAATATTAAAACAAAACCGAACGAGAAGATTCAATTTTGGCAAAGTATATTTCTTCTCACGAAATTTTATAAAATCACGTTAATTCTAACTTTGAAGTTAAAAATAGAAATCTTGCTTTAAACACCAATCTCGGAAGAGAAGATTTATTTTCAGTCGAAGCAAGAAGGTTTTGATTCAATTGGTACACTTACCAACTACTTCCATCTTGGCTTTTTCGATCATAGTGTGATAGGAAGGACTGCCGGCGGACACCTCGCACTTGTACATTCCGGTGAGATTCCGGGACACGTCTACCAGTGTTACGTCGTGCGAGTTCGATTTCGAAATCTGTAAAACGCGAAGCGCTTGATATACGTATGCGTTTTACTTCTTTACTCTTTTTCCGTCCCGTTCTCTCCATTTACCGCACTCTACGATTCCTTGCTCTCTTTTTCCCCGTAGCCTCGGATTTTTACGACACTACGAAAAGTTGGATCATTTTTCATGCCCGATAGGTTCGCGTCAATAGTTTAGGGACGTTTTCATAACCTCGTCATATCCTCCGGGCGATTCTATGATAATTCGCCGGGCGTGAAATTATATTCTCACGCGACGTCTAACCGACGACGATTCACAGAGAAATATTCCGCGAGACCTCTGTGCTACATCATCGTAACATTTTCCAATGTTGCTCCAATTAAACTTTATACACCGCAATCTCGAGTTGGGAAAGTTTGCGAATGAGTGAAGCGCCGGTGAATAAGATGCAAGGAATATTCATTGCGGATGGTTCACCGTTTCTGGATAGTTCTTATTCCGTTTCCCCTTCCATTTGCGATAAAGGATATTGTGATCGCAAAATATAATCGGGTGGCAAAAAACTAGATCTGCATAGAATAGTTATCAGAGCTAAGTTATTCCCGTTATGTTGATTGTCGAGATATAAGAGAGAAAAAGAGAGAGATAGTGGATGATAATAAGTATCGATCGAGCGAACGTTCCGAGGGATAACTTCGCTAAAAGCGTGGATCTCAGTGAGACTGTCACTGAAGTAACGCTGTTCGCAAAGATTCCTTTCAAAACGACGTTCTTCGGAGTGCTTTTACAGACGTCTGAAGAGAAGAAAACCTGATGGGGTGCTGGATATATATATATATATATATATATATAAGTTACCGTGCCGGGTGAGAATTTTTTACTGCCACATCTTCGCGCACAGAGAGCATCACGTCTGTGCTATCTCTCGAGATGCGCGCGGAAGAACAAAAGATGAGAGAGTTTCCTGCGATACATATCGGTCAAAATGACATCATTGATTCGAAACACGTGTATACTTCCGCGCCAGGAATAAGTTGCGCTACTTTCTGTATATATATATATGCCAATGAAAATGCGCATATCTATCGCGAAAACTTCGAAAAAGAGAGACGTGTAAGATGACGTGGAATTTTTGAGATCGAGTATTAAAATACAAAGTTAATATAAAGTTCGAGAACATACATATATATATATATCGAATTTTATGCAAATATAAAATTGGAAATATAGTGTAAAACTTTGCAGTATCATAAAAATGATATATTATTAATTTACCAAAAATACTTTTTCTATAATCCTAAATTATTAGCTGCGATAAGCGATAACCCATCACTCATGCGTTTCCGCGAAAGAAAGAAGTTTTTTTTTCGTTTTTTAAAATATCCGACTAATCCAGTGCTCGCTTCTCTTTTCTTCTCTTTTGCGACATCTCCGCAACGAATCGCCCCGGTATTAAACATCGCCGATATCGCTGCGTTCTGCAGTACATCGATCGATTTTACAAATCGTTTTCCGCGTTTAAACCTAGATCCCACGATCTGCTCGTTTCTTTTTGCGGCGATGCTCCTCTTCCTCTTCGCAGGCATTTATATTCATCACAGCGAGCGTCTCCGCCCCCTTTACAAACTATATCGGATGAGGGGACAAGTTCTTTTTCATCGTTTCTTCCGCTTCTGGCATCGGCGTAGACGAGACGCTCGATGAAAAATATCATTGAAAAGGGTTGTGAGCGACTATTCGGATCTGTCGGGGCGGAAACTGCACGGGAGCCGCACGCTGCCACTTCTTTATGAAAAGTGTGAACATGCACCGTATTTTTCACGTGCTCTATGTTCTTGATTAGATGAAGTCGTACGGGCAAAACACTTACAAACACGCACACGTTAAACTTCATACTCTGTTTTAAAAAGAAACGGCAAAATGCAAAAATATTTCAATTTTTATGAAGTTTTTACGCGACGACTGAGTATTTTCTATATATGAGCATTTTTTTTCTTGAGCACATCTATATGTAGTTTTACGACGTCTCTGTTTTCAAAAGGTCGCAGCAACAGCATTCGAGATTTTATTCGTTAAAATGTTACGAGAAAGCGCACACGGAAGGGGAGACCATTCTCCCCCGATTCATCGATTACATCGCAGTAACAATAGCTCAATACCGTTACATGGTATTACGGACCATGACTCATGCGGAACAAATATCGTCTATTCTTATATCGACTGAAAATACTCGGGGTTCGGAGATATACGAGCCAATCGGGGATAGACGATAGAAACTTAATCGAATAGTGAAAAATTATTATCCTAAATCTCTCTTTTCTCCGGGACACAGCGCGGGAACGCTTCTATCACGTTTCGCGTTTGGCGAACTAGTTTTCCTGGGAAAACCGTTTCTGCTGCAGCCCGATGATGATAGCGCGCCGTCCGATCAGCGAGAAAGATATTCTTAAGTGGCGTTAAAAAGACCCGGATGATCGGCGCTGTAGCTTTATGTGCTGGCAGTCGTTTAGAGACGCGCAGCGAGTTATCGTCGCCGTGGTAGACCGATAGCAATCTTATTGTAATGGCGCCGCGACATCCGGCGATCACAGGAAAACGTCCTCCGAGAGTCCACTATCGACTATTTTGTCCGACCCATTGTAAATTCAGCCTATAAAGATTACATAGACGTAGTTATCGTCTTATCCCGCCAGCTCAAGATGTTTTATACGCTCATGAAAATTCCCAGCCTGGCTTTCTATTTGTCCCGACTCAACTCGCGTTGAGTTTAAATCTTGCACGCCTTGTTTTACCCGAGGTGAGCGAGGCAAACGCCCGCGCGTGTAATATCGTAATTCATTCGGGAATTGCTTGCAGATTAAAATTTATTGAATAACTTGTATGCAAAAAGAAAGACCGTATATATCATACGTATTATTTGTGCGTTTTTTATGTTGCCAACTGTATTCTCTATTTGAATTTGTTGAATTATCGATTGAAATATCAATTGATATTAAAGTACAGAAATTATATTTCATGACTCTCTTTTTCGTGAAGCATGCAAAGTGAAAATCCTTTAAAATGACTCCGAATCCATGCGAAGTTCCGGAAAGTTAGAAAAATCGAATCCTCCTATCGTATTTGAAGGGAGAAATCGAGAGAAGACCGCTTCGTGTCGGATGAAGCCCTTGTCGTCACTTTACTCTAGATTCTTTGATATCTCTTCCCATATGTCGTTCTCTCCTTCTCACCTTTTGCTTGGATCGTGTCTAAAAATATTCAAAAACTTTGAAAATCACTAGAAGTCTTTTCTTCAAACAAATGTTTCTTCGCTTTGTTCTACACATATATTGCTATGTTATTCCTATACTTTTTCTGTTCTCAATGATTTCTCTCTCGATCTTTTTTCTTTTCACTTTATTCACTCTGAACAATTTGTTTATACTATGTTATATATTATGCTCCCCGCTCTTTTTCGACAATACTTCATTATTATTCAATCACGCTTTTTTCCATCAATTTTTTTCTCTTTCTTTTTATATCATTTGCATAATTTTTACAGACACATCTCTTTCTGAGTTGTACTTTCATGTTTCCTTCTTTCTCGAGTTCTACTCCACTTTCGCGCGCTATACAACCGACCCTTTGCGGTAATTATCGGTAAAGCACGTCGCAAATCCCGCGAGAGTATTTTCCTGCAGGACTTCGGCGTGTGCTTCCTTTGAGTCGTCGTCGGACAAAGGACAACGAGGTAGCAAAAAGGAAGCCAGAGTTGGACGCTATTAAATGTACATGCCCCTCCCAAGAGGCTATGTACGTCTTCCTCTTGCGGCATTTTAACTTAAGATATTTATCATCGAATTCATACTGCGTGCACATCGTGTAAAATTCATAACTGTGTTAAATATTAGTTTATTCAAATTGTATTTCAGAATTAGAAATTTTGACTGTGTTTCAGACTTGTCAATCATTCTACATAGAATTAATGTAATTGCTGCACATATCGGAAACTCTCTCTCGGTATTTCTCTCAGAGTCGTGAAATATAATTTCTGTACATACTCATACACTCAATAACAATTTAGCACACACAAACACATCTAGAATTAATCTCTAACATTTTTGTTGGACGCGCGTGTTATATCAACCCACGGGATATTGCTTTCGCGCCGAAGTGCTCTCAGTGAAGAAGGATTCCATTTTCTCGAGCGTCGGAAAATTTAAGAAGAGTTGCACCTCTACTCGGCAAAGAAAAAAAGAATGCACGCAGAGAGAAAGAGTTCGAAGAAGAGAAGGGCGTAAGCGAAGAGGCGCGGAAAGAATCGCGCGACGCGATTGCGGCGGTGGCGTCGAGTCGACGTCAGTAAAACATGGAACTCGCTTGACCCGAGGTTCCAAGTCGTGTCGCGGTCGTGGTACACGCCATAAATCAGCCCATCGATTCCTTCTTTTCTACTTCCGCGTGAGAGAAAACTTTTGCCTCCTCGTCGCGGTCGCATCGGGCGGAAAAATGGATGCGTCTTTCGCGACGCATGGAAGATTAGAAGAAAGATGCGGAAGAGGAAAAGAGAAAGTTGTGGGTGTAGAGAACGCGACAAGAAGTCTTTCTCGCCTTCTTTAGCTGAGAGTGCAGCCAGATCTGTTCTCTTATCGAATCTACTTGCAAGATTGTGTGTGTGTTCTTTCTCTTTCCGCGGAAAAATAGATTACGGTCAGATCGAGTCGCGCAAAAAGATAGCTGGTCGTTTACTCGCAAGCGCAAAAATCGGCTCGGCTTTGCTTCTTCTTATCTCTCGAACGACTCTCTAAAAGAGAGAGCTCGCTTGTTTGATAAATGGAGCTAACGGGAGTATCGATATATTGTGCGTCCTCCTTGGGAATGCTATTTATAATACATATATCGTCTTACATAAAACTGCATGTTGTGATTTAAAGCACGGATTTAGGACGGGTTGCTTTATCGAACATTCTTACAAGACATGCAGTATGTAAAACGTGTAGATTGTTTTAAATTCCCAACAATTTAGTTCATTGGTGAGAGAATAGTCAACTTATAAAGTATATGAAAATTTTATTCGAGCATTGTAATTAACATTTTCATAATTTTAAACTGCTTTATCGATAAATTATTATTCGTAATGAACGTATAACCGAGATTCGCGTAATAAATTACGGAAGTGTTATTACTGAGATAAGAATTTTATTGCACACTAATTGTGAGAAAAGTTCCAGATAATAAAGATAAAAATATATACTCGGTAATATTGAAGCACTCCAGTTTGAGTAAATACACGTTTTCGAGAGATTATTTAGTCAGTATGCTAAAATAAATCACCTACTCGATATATTAAAAGAAATTAAATCAATTTATTTTTTTAACTCAAATGTATATAAGTTGTTTCATATTTTACAAGGCAATATGTATCAAATCTTAGCTTTTAATATTTTATTAAAGATCTTAATGTTTTACATTTTGTGTATATAAAACTGTGCTTACGTTGACTCGTATGTCAGTCACGTTGAAGGTATTGTAGCGTGGTTGGCGGTCAGGTACGTAACGATAAAATTCGACATCTTCCAGAAACCATTGTATAGTGTACAAAGACAAGCCTTCCAGGTCGTAATGGCATGACAGAGTTACGGTGTCGCCCGATCTCACCATGGCCGGTACATTTATCGTCAAATCTTTTAAACCTGTTGCACCTGCAAACAACGAAAAACAGACCTCATATGCATGTATTAAAACAACGTTTTGCGTATAGAAATATTTATCAATGTACGCACATGTTACGTAAATAATTGCGACTAGAATTTTCAAAGAAACGTCACATAACGTTAAAGTAGAGAATGCTTTTTCAAAGTATTCTACGCAGTCAATAATCGTGATTCATTTGCTATCCTCAAATATGATTAAGCGCGCACGGTTGGAAAGCATGACAGCCATAAATAATTCAGGCAAATTTTTCAGTCCGTAAATTAAAACTTCGCGACGTGATTTAACGTTTTGTCGATCACTGATTGCGAAGTGGTTTTGCCACTGATCGAGACCATTGTGAGGAAAACATAAAAGTGAATATTTAAGCTTTATCTTACGTTTTAAAAAATATCTAAATAACACATATTTACACATATAACACATATTTAGCGGCAATTAAAGAAAATGTTATAGGACAAAAAAATTTTTTTATTTTACTAACTTGGTATGTTTTTTACTTTATATTATGTCACTCAATAAAAAAGAAAATTGAGAGAGAAAATGAAGAATATGTTCTCAGAAGAAGATATTTCTCGAGATTAAACCTATATCTCAGCAACATTTTTTATTGTTTTGTGCTTCTTCAGGAAAGATATTGTGCCTTTTAAGCACGTTTCCGTGCGGAAGTGAGTTTTCGAGCTGCAGCGTCATCAGTATAAAAAAATATGTTGGTATGACACTCTGACAATTTTGAATTGATTGTATCAATATTCAGACCCTATCAGAAAAAGCGTTTGTAAATAATCACAATCGATTTTCTTGATATTGATTGTTGCCACTTTTATCTTGACGCTGATTATATTATCTTATTTTTTCCGCGTTGCCGATTGGTTAGTTGGTTGATCGAGTCGAATCGAATCGGTAAGATCGAGAGAAAAAATAATGAAAAGCGATTTTGAGACAGTTCGTCGTATATGTAGAGAAAATTAAAAACGTAACTAAAGTCACGTGACAGGAAAGAGTAGAAAAACAACACGTGAAAATAACGTGACTGTAATTTATATTATATATAACATTAAATAATACATATTATATATACATATAATTTATTATATATTTATAATATTATACTTTATATTGTATTATATGTATTATATACATACTATAGTAATGTCACTGACCTCCGCCGCGCGACTTTGGCGGGGTCATTGACCTCGGCCGCGCGGCCTTGGCGGGGTCACTGACCTCGGCCGCNCGGCCTTGGCGGGGTCACTGACCTCGGCCGCGCGGCCTTGGCGGGGTCACTGACCTCGGCCGCGCGGCCTTGGTGGGGGGGGTCACTGACCTGGGACGCGCGACCGCGGCGGGGTCAATGACCTCGGTCGCGTGACTGCGGTGGAGTCACTGACCTCGGCCGCGCGACCGCGGCAGTGTTACTGACTTCGGTCACGTGGATACGGTATATATATATATATATATATACATATTTGCGTATGTGTGTGTATTATATATAGATATAGAATATTACATATAATATATATAATCTTCTCTTTTTTACCCTTTTCTCTGTCACGTGTTGTTTTTCCACTTCTCTCTCTCACTATTTTTTGAGTTTGATTTTCATGCGTTATTTCTGACATTTCTCATATGTGTATTATATGGTTTATAAGACGTATATACTATCTGTCATCGCGGTGACAGGTTGTGTTCACTGACAACACGTTAAATAAAAATAACAATAGCGTGCGCGTAGCGCGCGCCTGTGTTGTGCTAGTAAAAGAAAAAAACAGTCGAAAAAGTTATTGATAATGTATATACATATAAAAGAAAAGAGGACACAATTACTGCTCAAATAATTAATAATAATAGACAACACAGTAATTAATTGTATCATATAGACGTTGATTAAAGATTTCAATAACATGAACACATTAATAATCGCTTCACATGCAAGACAGCCAAATCCAATCGTTGCACATAATTCACTCAATTAATATAATTGATTACGCCTTGTCAACTGATTTGTTAAGCTTAATCGAACAACGTTGCAACATAATACAAGCGATTTTCCATGTATAAACTCTATTAGTGCAATTGTATTCTCGTTAAGGATAGATGTGCTGCTGGACGTTGATCAGCATTTTCATGCTTATTATATTATTTCTCGTGTCGTGTTACGCGTTATCAAACATAACAAATATTGGTAAGGATTTATGCGCTATTGAAGAGTGAAAATGACGATAAAAAATGTCGCGCTCGAGCGGCGACATGTCTCTCGCAATTGCGGTGTATGGGCAATTTTAATGATTCATTTTTCTCGAATCTCTCGTTCGTTCGTTTACACGAAACAGCGGCGCCGGCAGCGATGGCGGCGCGGAGAGACGAACAAGCTCGCAAATGATTGTCGCGATCGGAAAACGCTTTACTCGCGCGCCTCGAGCTGTTGCATTTCGAGGGATCTTGGCGAGACTTCGAAATATATACGAGAAACGCGGCGAGATAAGACGCGGTTGTCTTTTCAGTAATTTCCACTCGACATGCTTGCGGTCATCGACTGCGCATTGTCTTACCGTCGATTTCCGAGATACTCAGAATCCTATTTCAGCAGAAGCGATCAAAGGGAGAGAGAAAGCGATCTTCATTACCATGCGAAAGCGCGAGAGAACAAGACGGCGCTTTTCCGTGCGCGTATATCCTGTGTGTCTCTGTCTTTCTGCCCACCTTCCCAAGGATCGTGAGAAAGGAAGCGCGCTGTTCCCGCGCGAGTTAAATTAATTCGATATGCGTGTTGGTGCCCGGGCTGAACGCTCCCGATAAACTTGGTCGAGCGCCTCTTTCCCTCCACCCCTCGAAAGGGTGGGCGTTTGCGGTACAACTTATTCCGCAATAAACTTTATTCGCGCGCCGTCAGGTCGGCTCGCGGAAGTAGAATTCCGAGTATTCCGTAATTAGTATAATAAATAATCTAGCGAAGGTGAAAGAGAGAGAGATAGACTGCGAGAAGAGACGCAAAGAAACGTTTACATAATATAGGTGTATTGCGCACGTAACATAGCACTCCTTGAAATGGGATAAAAATGCATGAAACGTGTGCCGCATAGAACGCGCATCCGCGAGAGACGCGGAAACATAATGTTTTTTCTCTTTCACTCTCTCTCTCTCTCTCTCTCTCTCTCTCTCTCGTGTACAATATCTATAAACTTAAATGGATTTATAATGTTGCTGTTGGCGGACGACCACATCAGTATTACTCCGCCGCAATTCTTATACAACGCAATATATTTTATCGCTTCTGCTATTAAATTTTAAATAAATATAGTATTTCTTTCAACACACAACCTAAAGGTATTCCAATATTAATTAAAACATAGCATTTTTTAGTTTCTTCATCCTCCTGGTATATTCGCACTACGTCTCAGGTTTATGTGTTCTCGCTGCATCGTCGCTTAAGCAGCATACCACTTTCGCTCCATTCGGAATTGCACAGGAGAGCAAATGGAAGTGCATCTTTGCGAAATAGTCGGGCATAACGTGCAAACGGCGTAACGTCACGATTAGACGTCTTGCATACGGCGGCGGCACGATGCCCGTGAGACATTTAGTTGCTGCGAGAAGATATTCGGCGGCGCGTGCTGTTTGTTTTCGCCATTAAACCGTGAAGGGAAATATGGGTTAACTGCTCTACCGAGGGCCCGCGGATCGGTGATTAAGTGCAATAAATAATTCCAAGGCGCGCCGCGCTAAGCTGCGTGCAGATAACACTATCCGTGTTGTACGGATGCTCCCCGATCTTTCGCTTTTTGAGAGCGCAACGGGACTGTAATTTCGCGAAAGAGCGGCAGATAACATGCAAATGCTGCAACGTCTCGTTTCGTAAAAGTGCTCTCGATACCGCGGCGATTTATTGTTCGTAAAGGCGCGCGTATAAATAAATATAAACATAAAAGAGATATCAGGTATATATATATATATATATATATATATATATATATATGTACATACAAGATAAGTAGATTGATTCATGCGACGCCAGAGTCGAGTTCTCGTAAAAATGATTCTTTTTTTTCATAGCTGTTTTACGACAACAATTTTCCTCGGAAAATTCCCGCTTCGCTTAGCGTCGAAAAAATAGATACGCGCGACGTAAAAACTACCTTTTCGCAGGGGCAAAGTTTCTCTATGTTTTTATATTATTTGCGTATTACAATCTATGTCGCGCTGCGCTAGCGCGATACAGTCTCAGCTTAATTACTGTATTCCCAATAAACGTTACAAAACACATCGCGCTTCGCTTAACGAAGCTCACGGACGCGCACGAAAGAAAACAAGCATTTTTCTCTCCCGATGTCCGTGCTGATTGCAAAATAACGGGCTTTATTGGCTATTACTCTGATTGTGGTGGGCAAGAGAGCTTCGCACCTCTGCTGGGCGCGGAATGCAATCCGGACGTAAAATACAAATGAAACCCGTGCGCGAACAGTCGCGATTGCCGATATAACATTACACATAAACAAGCTACTGCTGCGTTCTACAGCTCGGGGGGATGATGTCCGCGTAGGAAATCGATGGTTAACCTCGCAGAAGAGGATCGGGATTCGCGCGGCAACTGGGATTTTGCAATTTTTATCGTATATATGCGCGCGATCATTCGTTTCGAGATTCTTCACACGCGATTTATCTTCTACGTATTTGCGATGTATTACAATGATACGTCGTTAAATTTCGTAAAAACGGAATTTCTGAAATCGGTCGCGGTTCTTGGCAAAGTTGCGACTCCGATCGTTAGACTACTTTGGCAAAACGATGTATGTATATCTGTCACTTGTATGTTATACCGAAGTTTATTCGATAAGTACAAGTGTAACATAATTAGATAAGTGAAGTTGCAAATTGAGTTATGGTTAAAATTATTTAGCGAAACTCTGCGAGTCTCTTTCTCTTCCTCTCTCACTCTTCACTCATTCCCTTACTCACTCTCTGAAGTCTGTACGTGAATATTGCAATTAAC